CCCGCAACAGCCAGGTCCGCACTCCATGGCTTCGGCCGAGAGAGACGAAACCGCTTCCTTTTCTATTCGAAGGTCTCGACGAAACTGAAGGACAGAGGAGGACAATAGTTCTGAATGCAGAGGAGCATCTCTTGTTTAGAATACCCTTGTAACCGGGGGAGTACCCTTGATCCCCGCGCATGTTTGTGCCTTGTCTTAAAGCGTCGCTCAGCAGTACTGCAGAGAAGCCTTCCTCAAACCATGATGGGGACGAACAAGGGGCCCGGGAACTGAACCTGACCGGATTGACCGGGCAAGAATCCCATGGCATTGTTACCTCCCCACCTGAAGCCATTTTCTTCTTGTCGTATTCATGGGTCAATGCGGCTTGGAACTGAAGCGGCTTTGTTCCCCGATTGCGCTGAGGCTTTCGGTACACAGTTTGTCTTCTTCTGCTGCACTGTCTGTGCCGGGCTGGGGATCATCCTCACCGTGCCTCAGCTTGATGTTCGTGAGTTCTTGGTTGGCTTTCAGGTTGGACCGACTTGGCAGTCAGGTTGCGCAAGTGCGTCTGCCTGAAAAGTCTCGGGAGCGGATGGTTGCGACCAAGAGGGATGATAGCAAAGCCAGACCTGCCGCTAGAGAAAGAGTTGATGACCACTTCTGATCACTGGTCACCCTGATTAGTCGCAGGACTGTCCTCAAGTTGTTCAATTCCTCTCCCGGCTAGCAAAGCACGAGAGGCCCAAATCCCAAGCCCGAAATCCCAAACAGACGGCCTTCGGCAGAGGAGGGTGCGTCGATGCTCAACCGTTTGGATTCAGCGATTTGCGGTTGTTGCATGTTCAGGCTTTTAGGCGTTGCTTCTTGTTGTCGCTGTTTGGAGGATTGAGAGCAAAGATGCTCCTCCTCTCCGACACTATCTTGACAGTTATCTACATAAAGAAAACAGTCATGGCTATCGCCGATGATTAGAACACAGGACTTAATCAACAAATTGACGACGCCTCGATCAACCCTAGGCCCTAAGCCCTCAAAAGTATCAGTACACCATATTATTTGGGGTGTCCCTTTTTGTTACAAATGTTGTATAATATGGGCGGTTGTCAAAAATAGGGTCCTTTTTTGGGTCCCTAGTATAGTACGGCACCCAATATTTACGGTACCCGAAAAGGGACCATAATTTTGACAAGCACCCATATACCCCACGACCCTATTATCCCTGAGGCCTTCTGCGTGGACGACAGGCCGGAGCTAGCAACAGTCATTAGCATCCCATGCCCTCGGAGCACCATTTGGGAGTTTCCGAAAATTATGGATACCGCTATAAGGGTTCCGTTAAAGAGCTCTACAGGGGTTTAGAGTTTCCGAAAATGAGGGTACCTTATTTTGGTGTCCGTAAATTAAAGATCCTACCATTTGGCCCCCGAATTCTCGGAAGCTCCCATCTCTGATATCATGTTCGGGTTGCTTAATTACAGGGTTACAACTTTGTGGCTTATGGTTATAGAGCCTCAACCCTCAAACCCTACAGGCCCAAATCGATAAACTAGGCCCCGGTGCAAAAAAAGGTGTTATCAGGTTTCGGGGTTGGAGGGGCCTTAATGATTAGAATAGGGCTCCTGTAAAGGAGTCTATAGGGGCTACAAACGGGATCTATAGCTTAGTTTCCAGAATTTTTATCACTGCGGAGCTTGGGGGTCAGGGTCTCCACGAAGCCTGAATGATTCGATCAGTTCCGCAGGCGGGGCCACGACATGGTGGGAGACAGCGAGGTGTCCCTTACAGGCTCGCGCCACTTGGCAGGCTACGGTGGAGTTGCACGTGCAGCTGTGTGGATTTGGTGGTTCACCTCTGGGCTGACAAGGCCTGCGAGGTACCGGCAGCATGCAAGGCTCCGTGGCGTTGCCATCCGAGCTCTATGTAACAATCAGTTAACCACTCAAGCTCGAAATTCCTCAAGCCTGGCACCTGCGAATCCAAGGTCAAGATCCGGTCAACGAGGCGACGGCACGTGAGCAAATGGCGATCATTCAGTATATATGTTTTGACATGTGCGACAACATGTCCTACAGTATGTGTGTTCGATACCGGAAGGAGTTTACACGCACGACACGAACATCCAAATGAAATGCATAAGTGAGTAGTTGCATACACGAACAGGTGGATGAATCTGTCATTTCATATGTGCATACATGTGCTCGCATACATGTAAATTTGCGTTGAATTTACACTGTATTTTCAGCATGCTTACATTATTTTACATTAGATCTACATTATATTTGCCACACATTGCCACTACGTTTACCTTACAATACATGTGCAATTTCATATCAATTTCCTTGCGGTGGCACTGCCCTGCAGTCAAATCATGGTTACATGACATCTGCAACTCGTTCATATGACAACCACACATGCATGGCTACATTTAGAGTACATTCCGTTCAACAAGCTGCATTTCACTACATTACGCTTCTAGAGTTACATCACATCACATCATATTCCATGTTGTTACTTCAAATGACGTCGCAATATATCAAGGCACGGTGCGTTACATGTATACATACATACATATATACATACCATGTGTAATTACTGTGTACATACATACTGTAATGAGTGTGCCACCACGGAGTGTGCTGGACGGTGGAAGAGGAACCAACGCCTTTTAGGCGCAATTTCAGAATCAGCTGAGGATCATTTTTCGCGTGCCAGGAGCCCCGAAGCAACTGTGACACTTCCAACGCAATCCAACCCGGTTGCACCCTGGCTCAGGCATGTGCGGCCAGACAGTAGCCACGCCCACTGAGCTGGCTTCCATCTCAGTACCTAGCCCTGTGCAGTGCCTTTTTTAACTCTGCAGGCCAAACTGGGAGTTTCCGAAAATAGGGAACCCTAATATAGTACCCGAAATAGTGGAATCCTTATTATAAGGCCCCCACAATAAGGCACACCTAATTTCCGGAAACTCCCGACTAGACCCTGTGGCCCGGCCGCGACCCACGCAGGTCTCGACTCCGCGTTTCACCAGCTGCTGCCTGGTCGGCTGTCCGAAAACATAGCGAGATTTCCTCCCAACGCACTCCGATCTGTGTTAGTGTGTGCACACATATATACGTCTGTATGTATATGTATGTATATGTATATATATATATATACATATTATAATATATATATATATATATATATGTGCAAATTTGTCTCAAGCGCTGTCTGAGCTCGGAGGAGAACCGAGCGTCATGGAGGGAGAATGGACAATGCGAGAACGGTTGTGACGAGAGGAGCCCAAGCTTAGTCTCTAGCACTCGTTAGCTTCAGCAAGGTTCCACGGACAGGACCCAGCCTTCGCCAGATCCGCCATGAGCTGCCCTTCGTCACAGAGTCAAGTGGGACTGAGGTGTGCTAACAGAAGCTGTGAGTTCGCCGTGACGGATGCTTCCTACGGTGGTTACTGCTGCAAGCGGTGTCATGCCAATGACGTGCGCTTTCAGCTCAGGTGTGTGCACACAGAAGCGCACGGGCACAAGTGCCAGCAAGTGGCCAGCCAGGCCCGTCGGGCGAAGGCGATCGCACCAGACGAGCCGGCAGCAGAGAGCTCGAGCAAGGCAGCGCTCAAGCTTCACTGGCAAGGACGATTCCAGGACTTGCGTTGCGCATCCTGCAAAGCTGAGGGTGAGGGTCTTCCGGCAAAAAGGCGGCCGGAGCAGCAGGAAGAAGTTCCTGCAAGGCCTTCACGACCAGCTGCGCCTCTGCGGGGCAGCATTGCCTTCAGCATGAAGCGTAAGACGGACACTGAAGCGGCGCCGCCGTCAAAGAGACCTACGGCCGCGTCCGATGCGTCCGCAGGTCCAGCCGAGCCTGGGCCTAGCACTGGGACGGCAGAGACAGCAGAAGCACAAGAAGCAGAAGAAGCAGAAAAACCCAGAAAACCATTACCGAGGCCGAGGGCGAGGATGGCCAGGCAAAAGCCTGCCCTTGCGCCTTGCTTGGGTCCCGAGCCCGAGAGTGAGCGCCAGAAATTGGAGGCCCAGAAGGATCTTGTCTCAGCATTGCGCCGAATGGGGAGGATGTGCAAACGGGTCCTGTCTAAGTCCGAGCAGAGGTTACCCGTGGAAGTTGCTTCTGACTCAGAGGAAAAGGAGCTACCCGAGGAAAAGTACCAGCCAACGGAGAGAGATCACCTCATCTGGAAGCTCTGTGGACTGCGCCCGGTGGCAGGCTACGAAGTTGAGTTCGCAGCTTTGGTTGGTGAGGCCGAAGCCCGCGCATTAGAGAGCGTGCAGAAAGGCGAGAGAAGGGTGCCCGAGCTGCGGATTCTGGAAAGACTCCTTCCTGGTAACCTTCCCGAGGACACTGAGGACTGACACCTGGGCAGACGCAAGGTGCTGCAACGACAGCATTGTTATCATGTTTTCCCGGGCAACTCCGACACAACGGTTTGCGGATTGTGGCGGCAACAGTCCCGCATGTGCCAGCAAAGGGCTGGATCCTCGTCTCGATGCTTGAGCAATGATAACAAGCGATCCGGCGTAGTCTAAACATCTCCTGACCCTGCAGGGCAAGGGATAGCTCAATCATATGGGTGCTACTTTCGCCGCGGTTGAAAGGTAGATGGGTCTTCTACAACTTGCTTTTCAAGTTAGCAAAATGAGGAGCGCCGAAATCCCCTTAAATCAGAATCTCCAACTCTTATGTTGCGTTCAGATCCAGGAACAGTCGCTCTGTAGCCCGTGGCGTGTGTGTGCTCCTTTGCTGTTCTGGCTCAGGCCCGGTTTCTAAGGGTTCAGGTCATAGCTTCGAAGTTGATTGTCTTACATCCAATCCAAGCGACTCGGCCATGTGTCGGTTAGGACTTTGGATTTAGGCAGCCTTAACCGCCCGACGCCCTAAACGTTGCTGAACCGGCAATGCTAAACTCTATAAGCCCTAAGCCCCAAGCTGTTGCGCTAGAAGTTTGCACTAGCTTCTGCCTGACGCACTTGTCGCAACATTGCTGAGGTGATACCTGGAGCGCCGGGAGAATGGCGTTTATCAGGCCATACATGTGGTTTCTTGGCTTCAGTTTTCGCCCCAGGTCAGTCTTTGTTCGGAATTTGAAGATTTCGGAGTTTTGGGTTCAAGTTGTTAAGCTTGGGATAACTTCTGCCTTTCCGGCTACATGAGTGATGGTTCAGGACTTGCGGCTGTGGAGGCTGCGCCCAAAACAGAGTTTGCTTCTAGATTCGTTTTGTCCCAAATTACTCCGAATACAGCCTTGACCCCATAGGACAGGACCTACGGCGAAGCCAAGCGTTGAACATACAACATCTACACATGTACACACAGAGCAACCTGACTGCATGACTGTGTGTATGTACACTATAATACATATACACACACATATGTATATATATGTATGTATGTAACCGTGTATACATACAGTATCCCGGTGCTCGGCACTAGAGATATTAAGATGCTTAGGCCGCTGAGCTCAGGTTAGCTTTGCTGCAGACGTTCTGGGTCGATGCGTCGGTGATCCGCACGGAGCCCGCAGGGGCTTGTCCGCTTAGGCTTGAGGCTTCAGAATTATTGTTTAATTATTAGGTTTCCCATTGGGGTTCTGCCAAGTTTCCTGAGGGCTTTAGTAGATTTCCGTGACGCAGGGCACGACACAAGATTTTGTCGAAAGCTGAGGGTGTGTGACTTCGGAAAGGTCTTGGAAAACGGCCGGGATGCTTGGCAGCTTTTAGATCCGGGCACACGCGCATCTCAAATCTGCGGCAGGAGATTCAACACAGCCAGCGCCAAGAGGTCGTTGTTGACGCCCAGGCAGCCCTGAGACTGCTCTGACTCTTTGATTTTTCGAATTAAGAAAGGGGGCCTTAATTCGTTACCTATACTATTTTGGGCGTCCTCATATTATTATAGCACAATGGGCCCAAAACCCTACTCTAATTAGTCAGGCCCCTTTGTTACCAGCATCCGGCAGTTTTAGCTGAGAGAAGGTCAGATGTCTGCAAGCAATGCTGACCCGGGACCGGCTGTAAGTCGTTGTACCTATAGTACTTAGTAGCTAAGTGGATACATTTTACATTTTTGGGGATAATATTACCCACTATAAAACTGAAAGTGCACACTTTTTGGGGGCTTATGAACTCAGCGACTAGGGTACCTATAGTCTCCATTGTAGTTCCTTTGTTTGGTTTAACCAGTTTTATTAAGGATCTTAAAAGGTAACCCCGCAAAGGAGCTAGAATGGAGACTAAAGGTAAAGTGTAAGTTTGCCAAGCTGGGCCACAAAAACCGGAACACGAGACTCCAAAATCCGTTTGTTACGAGAAGGTTGGCACTTGTAGCATAGAAAAGGGACTCCTCGCCCTCATCTTAATGTTATGTTGCCTGAGTGGAAGCGAAGCTCACGGCCTCGGCCCCTGCTGAGGCAGCCCTGGACGTGGAAAAGCCGAAGCATGTCCGGGCAAAGGCAGACACCGTCTCTCATGGGAAAGCCAGTCAAGCGAAGACTCAGAAGAAGCACAGCAAGAGGAATAAGAAGGTCGAAGAACCTGCATCTCTGATGCGTGCAGAGCCCTCCGCGGGCTCCGAGACAAAGCGTCCGAACGACAAGGAAGAGTCCGCAGACGATGCGGATGAGGATGAGGGTGAAGGAAACGAAGAGTCTTCCCAGGAGTCGACGCAGGAAGGATCGGAAGACAAGACGGAATCTACGGAGAAGGACGACTCTACAGGCGAAGACACTACTGACGATACAGACTCAGACACGCAGGAAGCTTCTGACGACACTGACACTGATTCTTCAGCCGCAGTCTCAGCGGAGGACATGAAGGGTGAAGAATCGGATGAGCAGGACCCTGGCGATGGCACAGGTGAAGCAACCGAAACGGTACAGATTTCCGACAGCAGTGGCAGCCGAATTTCTGGCACCTCCAATGGGAGTGCAGCCGTGCTTATGTCAGACACGGAATCGGCTACTTCGCTCAAAGCCATTTCCCAGGCAGGGTCTTTGTTTTCCAGTGTAGTTAAGAGTGGGATAGTTGGATCGGGGGCCAGCGGTGGCAGCGAAATGTGAGGATGAGCGCTTCTCCTGAGGGCCCCGTCCTTTCAACTTGCTCGAAAGTTAACCACTGCCAGTACCGCCTTGGGCCGCTACTACTGCTGTATATGGCTTGTTCTGCTGCTGCTGGTGCTACTGCTGGTGCTGCTGCTGCTATAATGCTCCCGCTACTGCTGCTGCTGCTGCTACCACCGCCGGCGACGAGAACGACAACGTAATAACTACCATTACTGCTACTATCAATTACTAGCACCACCACCAAAACCACCACTACCATCACTACCACACCACTGCCCCTGCCCTGCCTCTACCGCTACCGCTACCACGACGACGCTTGCTACTACTAATACTACTACTACAACTACTACTACTACTACTACTACTACTACTACTACTACTACTACTACTACTACTACTACTACTACTACTACTGCTACGACTGCTACGACTGCTACGACTACTGCTACTACTACTGCTACGACTACTGCTACTACTACTGCTACTACTGCTACTACTACTACTACCACTGTTGCTACTGCTGGTACCACCACCACGACGACGACTACTACTACTACTACCACTACCACTACCACTACCACTACCACTACTACTACTACCACTACTACTACTACTACTACTACTACCACTACTACTACGTCCACGACTACGACTATGACTGCGACTACTACTGCTACTACTACTACTACTACTACTACTACTACTACTACTGCTACTGCTACTGCTACTATACTGCCACTACTAGTCCTCCTCCTCCTCCTCCTCCTGGCGCTGTGTCGTCTACGAGTGCTGCAGGCGTTTACGCATGATGCTGGGCATTGGTAAGGAGTTTATCACGCGACAGTCAGTGTAAGGGCTAGGAAATGCACGGACGGACAAAGTGCGAGATTTCGTTCGGCGATGTTGAGCTTTCTCCACAACAAAGGCGTTTTTCATGTTTTGGAAATTGGTTCCCACAGGAACATACCTACCTTTGTTCTACCGATTCTGCTGTCGTGTTTCCAGAATCTTGTCAGAAGCCCCATGTAGGAATGCTTTGTGAGAAACTCAAAGCCCTCCAGGGACTGTGTTGTGGGAAATGCAACACCCTGAATGGATTTGCTTGTGTGCGTGTGCACGCACATGGTGCAGAAACCGAACACCCAACACATGCCACAAAAGGAGGCGGGTTGGAGTGGCGCTTCCGGAAACCTTGAATTGAAAGACCCTTGCATGCCTTGCGCGAGTTGCGAGAGTCGGAAAGGACGTTCTTATGGCAGAGGCTCCGAGGCCCATTTTACATGACCAGCGTGGCGTGGTAATTCAACGAATTCAATAAGCTTCTGAAATCTGCGGTACTAAACATGTGCGATGAGTCTGTTGAGGACAGGCCCATGTCGTCGGCTTGTCAACTTGCAGTGGCAGGCAAACTCTTCGAATGGGCATGCCTCTGCCGCCAGGGGGGCGAGGCTTGACAGCACACATTGTTGCATCAGGCTACTTCGTGTGTTCCAGACATGCATGTTCCGGTGGCGATGCCCTGCTACCGCCGCGCACAAGCTGTCCGCTGCGATAAGCTATGTCATGCATGGAACATGCGTCAGAGTTTCAGACGTTACATGAATTGCTGTCATTGGTCGATTGGGGGATTGCTTGTCCAGTTGTCGCATGACCAGAGACCGACAGTGCCTGTTAAGGAAGCTGTTTATCCTGGTGAACAGCAAGTATACTCCGAAATATGTTTTGTTATGCAGTGAGGAATAAGGACCTCAGGACGAGCTAGCAATCAAAAGCACACCACGTCCGAGGATCGGCAGCAATCTCGAACAAGGACTGTGGGATAAGAGGGCTGCAAGTGACACCGCATGGGGAAGGCAGAGAATGCAGAACATGGCCATGACGACGACTACGACTACGACTACGACTACTACCACCACCACCACCACGACTACTGCTACTACGACTACTGCTACTACGACGCAGCTGCATCAGCAGCAGTAGCAGGAACAAGTAGCTGCAGCAGTGGCGGTAGTAGGTCGAAGGGAGTATGTAGTAGGTAGCCGGAAGCAGGATGTGCAGTAGTGGGATCAGGAGTAGTAGTAGTAGTAGTAGTAGTAGTAGTAGTAGTAGTAGTAGTAGTAGTAGTAGTAGTAGTAGTAGTGGTAGTGGTAGTGGTAGTGGTAGTGGTAGTGGTAGTGGTAGTGGTAGTAGTAGTAGTAGGAGGAGTAGGAGTAGGAGTAGGAGTAGGAGTAGGAGTGAGTAGGAGTAGCAGCAGCAGCAGCAGCAGCAGCTGCACCTGCACCTGCACCTGCACCTGCACCTGCACCTGCACCTGCACCTGCACCTGCTGCTGCGCCTACGTACATAGATACATATATACGAATTTTAACCCTAAGCCCTAAACCCTTAACCCCGACTTCCGGAGGATCTTCCGAGTCGGCAGAGGCGCAAAGCTCGTCGGATGCCGACGCTGAAAGCCTGGAAGGCCTGGAAGAAGGCACCGGGAGCCTTGTTTCTGTTTTTGATCGCTGGCGTTTGGGCGTGCCTAGGGAGTTGCGGAGTTCAAGTTCAAGGGGTTTAAGTTTCGGTGATTCTAGCTTCGAAATTTTCGATTTTGAGCATATGCGGCTCTGAGGGTTCAAGACATTGTGTGCCGCAAGGGGTTCCTGCCAAGGCGACATTCACAATCGGGCTGAGGAACAGAGATGTGGTATCGCTTGAAGGGTGCTACTCCTGGTAGTCCCGGCGGGATGGCGGTGCCGGTGATGGTGGGCATCATGCCGAAAACTGTTCTCACAATGAAGACTAGAAGCTGGAGTCAGGGCATCGGCGGTGGTGTACTTGTGCAGAACACCTACCTGTCAAAGTCGAAACCATCACCCAGTCAACTACATGGGACACAAAATTCAGCTTGAGGCCAAGAAGCCGAAGACTTCAATCACAGAGTTAAACCACCTAACTTAATCAAAAGAAACCCTAAAACGAAGGCTTCTTGAATCACAGAGCTAAAGCCCTGGAGACGAGAAGTGGGCCCAGGCTTGGAAGAGGGGGAGTCTGACGAGCTCGTGAGGGGGGCAGCACAGGCAGAGATTCAATCTGCGGCTCTGAAGTCAGGTTCAGAGATCTTCTTACTTGGTGGTGTATGTTCTCTTCTTTTGAAGGACCTTGGAATCATAACCTCGGGTTTGCCATTCGTTCCGCTCGACAGCTGGAAGACAGAAGATCGTGAAAGCCATGATTTGTTGATTTGCTTCTAGCCGACATTCGCCGATTCGCCGATGCCGAAAACCCTGACTTTTGAACGAGCATTCGCGATAGTGTTGCATGCTTGCGATGCTGGGACTTGCTCCAGGCATGTGTTGGCACCATGATCGAGAAGTGCCCATCTGCAACTTAGCCAAGCATGGCGCAGGGCAACCACATGGGTTGAGCCATCCTTCACTCAGCATCGGTTGCAGAAATGTTGCCGACCATTTTCTCTGCGCTTGCCCAGGACAAGTCCGATCCGTGCAAATCTTCAGACGCCGGAACATGTGCGACGTGGCTCAAACAGACAGACAACATGCACCAGGGTTGGGCAGCGACCTCCCGGCAGTGCTGTGGCACAGAATCAGAAAGCTTGTAGTTTGCTAGTCACTGTCTCGGCTTTGTATCTGGCCCAACTTCATCTGCTACGGCAAATCGGCGGAAGCAAGGATTTTGGCAGAAGACGTGTGCGGATAGCGTTCAAGCGTTCGTGTATGCTAAACCTTGCTTACCATTTTTGTTGTTATATGTCTGCTATGTGCCCAAGATATTCGCTCGATTAGGGCCCGCCAGGTGAATGTGTTCCACAAGTGTTCGGACGACAAGCTCACCCAATGCGTGACTTGAGTCTGCAAGAAAGACTTCTGACCGGACGCTTGTTGAGGCTGTGTGTTTAACTTGTGGTCGAACCAAGTGTCTAGGTTCGAAAGGGTGCGATTTCCAAGTCCTTCACGTCATGTTGAAAGTCCTAGAAGCGCCTAAACCTCGGAAGCACTACAGTAGTTTGCTTCACGCGAGAGATCGGTCCCTGACCTGAGGACACTAATAGGTTTAAAGTGGTATTAGAATATACATATGTATATATATATATACACACATATATTTTTCTATACATATATGTATACATATACATATAGTTGCTCAGTGTTTTGCATATGTGTAGATATGTATATAATAACACCTATACAATCATACAATGTACACAAGTTTACCTACATATATATATATATATATAAATACATACATACATACGTACATACATACATATTATGCAAATGCATGTGCACATATGCATGTATCTGTGAATAAATGAATGTGTATGTCTGTCTATCTGTACGTATGTTGGTATGTGGGTATGCACGTATATACCCAAGTACGTCTGTACGTGTGTCCGTGCGTGTGTATGTATGTAGGTCCAATGTAGGTATGTATGTATGTACGTATGATGTACAATGTACGGGTAAGGTGGTGTAATATAAAGTAAGGTAGTGTAATGTTTTGTCATGTAATGTATTGCAATGTAAGGTAATGTAGTCTAGTGCATGTAGTGTCATGCAATGTAATGTTTAGTAATGTACTGTGATGTGACGTATGTATGCAGCTGTATGGACGCATGTAGGTATGTACGTATGTATGCCTCAAACAAAAACTCTTCCTCAACCCCTGGAGCCCAGAAGCCCAAGCCCTGAAGGGCAGAATGCTAGTCCGGAACCCCAGAGACGCCAACATGTTTTGGACCTAAACCTGTATTTGGGGTTTAGGGTTTAGGAAAAGGGTTTAGAGCTCAGGGTCATTATTCGGTGATATATATATATATATATATATAATAGTTGGGGTGTAGCGTTTAGTGGGTATAGGGTCAAAGGGGTCAATTGGGGTTTAGGGTTTAGTACAAGGGTTCAGGGTCATTAGGGTCTGTAAAGCCCGGAAGGCCCAAAGCTTTGGAGATCGTCCCGAAGCCGAAGCCTCAACTCAGGCCGTCCGCAAGGGCAAGTGCTCCACCGGCGGCGCCACCTGTAGCTGGGCGTGAACTTCGTAGCTGAGTACGTAACCTCTAGCCTTTTGGGGTACTATAAGGGGCTCCTTTATGTAAGGGGTGTATAAGGCTACTATAACGGTTAAGGGTGTAATCTTCAACCTTTTGGGGCCTATATAACCCTACCATAGTTGAAAAGGTTAAGTTTTTTGGGGCTCGGGTACTCAGCCCCTAAGCGAAGGGAACAAGCTAAGGCCACTGCGGTTTTCTTGGGACCGTATGAAGGGTTTGCAAGTTGAAGTCTAGAGAGTGGCGGCTTACAGGGGGGTTTGTAGGATGTTGGTTCAGGGCAGTCCAGTGCTTGGACGTAGACAGAGACTCCAATAGCCCTTAATGAAGGAATATACCTTAAATCATAGTAGGATCCCTAACATGATTTAGGGAATATTCCTTAATTAAGGGATCCCTGGAGTCTCTGGGAATAGACAAGTTTTTGAAGGGTGGGGTCTCGCCACGCTTTCCGCTGTTGTTTCCGGATTGGATATAGGGTCCGCTGACCCTTGACAGGGGTAATTTAGGGGCCTAAATAATTACCTATACTATTCTGGGGGTTCCTTACTATAAATAGTATAATGGGGCCCAAAACCCTATTCTAACTATTAAGGCCCCTATATTAGGGCCTTTTTGCTTTTTGCCTCTGCAGCTGCTGTGACAGGGGGAGCAAAGCGCAGTGGAGCATATTCCAAGACCCTCTTGCAAGTATCGAGTTATCGCCATAGCTTCAGTGAGGCTGCAGATCGAAACCCGGCGCTGTAAAAACTCGTTTTCGAACCTTGAATGCGCAAGCTCTATTGCCCGGTGCCCTACACCGCTCAGGCTACCTGCCATGCACTGGAGTTGAACTCCATGGCTCTTCCTGCGCAGCGCAGCCAGTGGAGTCTTGGCCTGATGAGGGTGTGAGTTGCGAGCTTCGTGCAAGGGGGAGGCAGGTTAAGGTCTGGACTTTGGACCATCAATTTTGGCTCTGGGACCCCAGTTCCAACTAGCAGCGACAGTGCCACAAGGCAGAAACAGGTCGTTTCATCCCCGAAGCCCCTGAATCAGCGAACCCGACACGTCGAAATGATGGGCTACCGATGGAGTACAGCCAGGACAACTGCAACGGCGGCTACGTGAGCGATGGCACGTCCGGCAATCCTGCGGCATTGCCCCATCTGCTAAATTCCAAACAGCCTCGTGTTGCCACAGAAGACTGATAGCGCCTCCAGCCGATCCCATCGACCACCCTCATAAGCCATCAGCCCGGGGCCTGAATCGTTAGCCGTATAGGGCTGGAGCCTAACTCGAGGTATGTCGTGCATGATTTCTACTGCGGACGGGGCCTGAGAAGGGTCGGAGGGAGGCATCTGGCCATGGGGGTTCGGGACCTTCGGTTTTTAGAGCTTCCGGCGGGCACAAATTGCAGGGTTCGGCAGGATTTCGGATTCTTGTCCAGGCTTCGAGACAGCGCGTGCTTTCATTGATTCATGCACAACACTGCAGGGATGCCAGCAAGTTTCCCTGTTTCGCACCCCCTAAACCCTAAACCGTTCTGAAGCCGAGGACATCACGAAGTGCACGCACCTTGGGCTAGCAAGACCGAAGAGGGCTCGCATCTCCTATCATAGGGGCCGAAGTAAGTACCACTACTCTTTTGGGGGGTTCCTCATTATACGTAGTTATAGTACAATGGGCCCCAAAACCGTATTCTAATTTTTAAGGCCCTATATTCTCCGGAAGAATTATGGGTTTTGGGGTTAAGGCTTCGCAGCTGGAGTCACTGTTTGGGGATGACACGATTGTGTCAGTTGGCAAAAGTCCCAAATCCTCCATCCCTCTCATCTTCGAACATTCCAGAATCTTCGAGGCCCCCCCCCTTCATGAAAAAGAATCACCGTCAGACCTGTCCCGAGAAAGATTCCAAGTTCTTCGCTTTGTCGTGTCGGTGGGCCGAGGAGCTACTATTGAGCCTGTTCAAACCACCATGTCCCCCACTAGCCGTGGGCCTTGATCCGAAGCCTCACGACAACAACATGACTATGCACCTCGAGAGTTGAAAGCCTCAGCCGTGAGCCTGAATTCTAGCCCCTTTCTTCTGAACTTCTTGAATTCAACCCCCTTCTTTCTTTTCAACGCCGAACCTTGAAGCCGCGGGGTGTGTCGGTGGCCAGGAATGCCGGGACCTGTGCACTGCCTGAGAAGGACTGAGGTCGCAGGCTCTACCTGTAGGACTAGGGCTAAGGTTTTGGGGTTGAAGGCTGAAAGGGTAGGGGGTTAACGGAGTGTGTAGGGTTTTGAGAAACCGGGGCCTGGTGCTGGGCGCAGCAAGAACAAGGAGTTACAAGTAAAAGGGGGCAAGGGCTACATCGATTAGGGTCTAACTTGGCCGAAAGAGTGGCATCCCGATTCGTGGCGACATGAAGTATCAGAGAAAACAGGTGCAAGTTTTGCCTTGGTCGCACTGATAGCAGGGAAGTCACGTTGCCCTGAGGCTGAGATGCTCTTTCCTCAAGGTTCTTTCCATTCCACCGCTGGCATCAGTCATCAGCACTTTTTATCCTCCTTGCTTGATTTTGGGCTCAAGCTCTGGCCTGCGTCCATTGATTGCGACTTGTAAGGCCGTGTAGACACTCTACGGTTAGGGCAAGTTTACGGGGCGATTGGCAAGTGCAAGTCCACGCATGTATTCAAGCATCACTACACAGACGCATACACACTCTTGGGGTGAATCGCTGAGCATCACCAAGTGGCCCTTACAGCTCAATCATGCCAGCCCCACTGTCCAAGCCTGAATGAAGGAATCTTTGCACACGCAGCCTTCCACACATTCCGTCCCGCCATATCCAGAGAGCAGGCAAGCACCGTGTGTTGGATGCCTGGGCATATGAAACACCAAGCCCTGCATGGAGAGTTTTACTATTAAGGACGCCTTCTCTTGCTGGTGCCTGTACTCCGGATCCCATTGGATGTTTAGGGCTTTTAGGGTTTGACTTACGCTCCCCAAAATTCCCGAACCTCATACTCTCAAACGCCACGTGCATGGGAACTACATGGGCCCAGTGCTGGCGCGGGTTCGCGGGGAGAAGACAGCCATGGCAGACGAGCACACAGGCTCTCAGGGCCTGGGGATGCTGTAGGGTTCAAGAGATCGGTTTTAGGGGTATTCGGGTTTGCAGGGCCGAGTTAGGGTTCAGGAAACAGGCCTGAAAGCAACATTGTGCAACCTTGTTGCCATGTGCTCCCGACAGAAATAGTGTTTTGTCAAGACGACTTTCCCACGACGGTGTTGAAGCAGTTGCCCCCCCCTAGAGTTGGTCAACCAAGGACCCTAGGATCTGCAGATTTGTCACTACCGGCTCTCATCTCAGGCTACTGGATGTGTGAATGCCGTGTCACCCACAACTTCTTCGTGCGCAGTGTGGGCAAGCGTCATAGCAGCATTTTGGTCGGAGCTTGTTCGTGCCCCTCAGAGATGGGAGTCGGTCACCGTCGCAAGAGTTTCGGCACCTACTCTAAACCCTAGGCAATAAGAGACAGGCATTTCAGATACAATGGCGACGATGTGGCCTTCCTGGACGAGTTCGGCGATGAGCTTAGGGAATTGGGTGCTGAGGCGACTGCAGAGGGCTTGTGGTCTGAAGTGTTTAGTTCTCGTCAGATCGGGTCTTGTACATGGCGGCGGGACACGGTGTGTGGAGTCACCGGATATGGAGCAGCTGGCAGACCTCGTTTAAACCTTAAAGCCATAACCTCCCAACCCGGTTCGGGCGCCGGGTCTCCGCAGCAGTGTGGGTCGGGCCTGAAGAGTTTACTAAGTTACTTAGAGAGGCACAGTCCAGCGACCACCGCAACAGTTCCTGATGACAGGCACAGACGATCTTGGAAGAACTGAGACGTCAGAGAGAGGAGGGGGGCCATGACCTACTGCGATGCTATGAGCAGTTGTTCTATGAGAGTTTTGAAGGTTGTTCTTCAAGGATGTTCGTAAGTTGTGGAGTTTGTTACGTTTAGGGGTTTGATCATTTGAGCCTTTCGTGGAGGGGCTCGAGGCCACGGGCTTTAACATCCGAGGCTGGACCCAAACGCGCTAGGAGTAGTAGTTGAGGAGTCTGTCTTCAGGGTTCAGGATTTATCCAGGGCTTATAGAGGCTTGCGACGATAGCTTTGTCACAGTTGGGTAACATTTTACATGTCTATGGGTACTTACACCCAATGAGGAATAAAAATGTACATGTTTTACCATGAACTAGACAGGGTATGAAGGTGTAGGGCCAGGGTTGGCCGAGATCCTTCGCCGCTTCCATCGACCCTGGAAGACTTGATCGACTTGCAAGCCAGAGCTGCTACAAGAACTTCTTTAGGGTAGCAATATGGATAGGTGTCTAAAGTTATTTCATAACTATACTCTACTAGGTCCTAACATAACTACACTCTACTGGGTCCTACTCTACTGGGTCCTGTGATAGCAGTACCAAACCAGCATGAAAAAACATCCCCTCCAAAATCGGAGACATCGCAGGAGCGCCTCCGAGCCCCCGAGAAGTCCCTGGCACGAGCTCGGCGCATCGCCCAGGTGCTGCCCTGGGGCACAGGATTTGGGGGGTTCTATTATAGAGGGTAGTCTAGTATGCTAGAGTAGCTTAAGGATAGACTTGAAGAGAAAATGCCCGAAGTCTACGGATTTTAGTAGGTTTAGGGTTTCATGTAGAGTTCAGTGTTTAGGACTTGGTTAGGGGCACCCTGAACCATTAAAGTAAAAGAGCAGACACTCTGGGGTTTGGGGAGTTTGGTTTGGGAGGGTTTCAAGTTCAAGGCAAGGAAGTGGATTGGAATATGTTGTTCAGGGTGCTTTGAAGCTGAGCTCGTTTTCAGGGTTAATATCAGCAACCCAAAGGGACTAATACGGAGGCCTAAATAAGTATAGTATAATGGGCCCCAAAACCCTACTGGGGGTTGAGGGCTTTCGGGTGCGACGGTGGAAGCCCCAGAGCCCGCCATGCAAGGAGTATCAGCCGCTGCACCCTGCAGTGTACCGGCTGAAGCCCGAGAGTTTCTTGGACGATCCATCGCCGAATTGGGGGTGGGGGAGCAAGGGGAGCAATATAGACTTCGGGACAAGTGGGTATGTACTGTAAACCTGTGCATCAGAAGGTTTGTGGAGCACTTGCGAGCCAAGACCCGAAAGAAGTTGTGTGAACAATTAGTGAGAATTAGTGGGTGAACGTCTCACCACAGACAGAATCCAAACCCGGTCTAAAAGCATGCGCCCGATTTCGCGGATCTCGACAGCTGAGGAAGCTTTCCGAGAAATGGTGATCGAGCTGCAGCCGCTAAGTATGCACTAGGTGCATTTGGACGGGATCCAGGATTTCCATGAAATTCGGAGTTCGAAGGGCTGAAATGCATCAGGGAACCCTAGGAGGAGCATAAACCAAACAGCCCTCAGCCTTCAATGCCTGGCCTGGACTTGGTTTGTTTCTTTTGGAGCATTTGGGGTTGACAGGAGAAATGCTCCGAATGCTGGCCCGATCCCTATCCCTCCCCGGCAACGGAATGCAGCCTGACACGATGCCATGCAATCTCGTTTGACAACCTTTCATGGGTTTCCATACCCACCCGAATCTCCAAATGTTTGGGGACGGCATGCATGCTTGAATTCATTCTCTTTTTTCGCGCATACTTATGTGCAGTGCGAGTTTTCTGTGAGCTGGACACGCATGCTGGACAGACGCTATTGCTTCTGCTCGTCTAGCTTGAGTTGCGGCAGCCCGCACAAGCACTCATGGACAGCTCTACCCGGTGCTAGCTTATATACTACCAGCGATGTTCAATGATCGTCTGCAAGAATCCGGACTGTGTTTATGAGTCGTTCATACAGCTGCTATAAGTGTTGCAAGCCGAGGAAACCGGGTGGTGGAGCTGCCGCCCGTTTGAAGTCCCGCAAGCTCGTGCAAGAGCCCCTCGTCCTTTGCAGTTTGGTTGCCGGAGGAAGGAGTTTCATGATTCTGAAAAAAGTGTTTAGGGATAGCTTGTGCACATTGGGAGCCCTTGACAAGCTCCGTGGATGGTACGCCTTCTACCCCGGCGAAACGGTCTGAAACCCTCAAACCATGAATCTACATACACCCGAACTTGAACTCTGACGCAAGATCGACTTGCCTACAACAAGGGGCTTAAGCCCGAAAGCCCTGAACCGTCAGGAGCCTCTGCCTGGATATGTCCGAGTGTGAAGAGTCGTAATATGGGCTCTGAATAATTAATTGTTTCCGCTTCTGTTCCTAGTATGCTTAATTATACGAACAAGTCTACATAAGTACACCCCAACGCCAACACCCTGTTCTAACACTAAAGCCTCTTGTGCTAAACCATTTCCCAGGCTACGCCCTGGACTTTTCACTTTTCCGGTCTTCACGGAAGCTTTTTGCGACCAGCTAGAGGCATCCGTGAGGAGGTTGCCGGGTGTAGGGGTTCGGGAGTTTTGGGCTTAGGTGTTTCGGATGTAAGGTTCTTCAGGGTTTGGCGCGATGCTGTTGTGTTTGTCACCTTCCCCGGCCGACTTCCCAAGCACGGAAGCAGGGTCCAGGACCCGGTGGTTTAGGAATAGAGATATTGGAGAAAGCGATCTACTTCCATGTTCAAACTGTTCGGTTCCTCCATCAGTCCGTGCTAGCCAAGCTTGAGATCCAGCTTGTCAAGTGGCAGCTTTGTTCTGCCTTGGGAAGCTGACAGAACGTGTGTGGTGTTGCAGAACAGAGGAATTTCGGTGATATCCCGAAGTTTGACGTGGCAAGCTGTGCATCGCAATGTTGGAATCTTGAACTGCTACAGACTGCAGTCCAGAAGCACAAAACCTGATGCCCAACCCACACCTCGCTTTAGTTTCGGAAACCCCAAGCCCGCAACTGACGAGGCTCCATGAAGATTGAAACCGAACTCCAGAACAGTTCCAGAACTATGAGCCCAAGCGACGCTCACAAAAGGATCCACCAGTCTGCGTATGAGTGCAGGCATGCAGGTATACATACTTGAACTCTGTACATTCATTCGCTTTGCACAGGCCGAGCTTGGCCATTTTCAGGCCTCGGGGCTGCCCCGCTCGGCTCCGAACACAATGAACCGCCGCCTGGCGCGAACATCATACCTTTGTCTTTGTTCATGCAGGTTGTGGCTCTTGCTTTGTAAAATTCGACATGGCTTGAGCAGCAAGCCACATGCCCAAATAAGTCGCCAGGGCCAATCATGGTTTGTGGACCTGTCCAGGTGACCTCTGCCCAAGGGCTTGCTACAGCGTCCTACTACCACTACTCCTCCTACTACTCCACCTGCTCCTACTCCTACTACTACTACTACTACTACTACTACTACTACTACTACTACTACTACTACTACTACTGCTACTACTACTACTACTACTACTACTACTACTACTGCTCACTAGCTTGTGGAGGCTATGGCATCATCATGTCAGAGCTGGGCTTCGGCCCAGAGCTTCTCGACCCCTTCATCTTCCAGTACCTCGTGGCCTGGTCTCGAGTGGGCCCAGAGGCTCTGGGTGAGGACTTAAGTGCTCCCTGTAGTGGTAGTAGTAGTAGTAGTAGTAGTAGTAGTAGTAGTCGTAGTAGTAGTAGTAGTAGTAGTAGTAGTAGTAGTAGTAGTAGTAGTAGTAGTAGTAGTAGTAGTACTGGTAGTCGTGGTAGTAGTGGTAGTAGTGGTAGTAGTGGTAGTAGTAGTAGTAGATGATGATGATCTGGGCAAGGATTTGAATGGCTCTCTGTGAGAAGCTGCTACCAGCGTGTCTGAGATGGGTCTGCCGAGATTGAAGTGCGTTGCGTGTGACCAGTGGCCAGTGGCCTTAGTGATAACTGGTCCTTGGCTTTGTGATTCAACTACAAGGGCATTTTAATCACCGGACATGTTGAAGACGCGCGGACTATCGAGCGTTGTCTTTGAAACTTTTGAACATTCTGAAAAGAACTCAAAACGAAGCGACTCGTACGTTCCTTATACCGCACGTGTGCAAACGGCGCCTCCCCTAGCTTTCTCCTTCGGTTGTTCTCTCTCTTCCCCTCTGTACGCGGGACTCTGGCTGGTGCTGTTGTTATCCGTGTTCTTGCTATGCGCATCACAACTCTCTATGCTGCTTGCCGTGTCCTTCTACATTCGCAGACTTCTGTACATGCACAGTCGCACAATGCCGCACACACACACCAGCGGATTCGTGTCTGCACATGGCGATATCTGTATTGATCATTATAACGATCTATATATCTGTCCAAACTAGACAGCTGTCTATTTACTTAGTCCGTCTATCTATCTGTCTATCGACCTATCTATCCATCTGTACATGTCTGTGCGCGCATGTGCATCTGCACATCGGGCCTGGCATCCGATACCTGCTGGTGCCCAGGACATCATTGCGCAGAAGCTTTTGCCAGCTTTCTGCGAGACGTTGCTCGTCGTCTTCTGGGAAGGCAGGCAGGGTCAGGTCGACTGCAGATGGAGGTGTGGACCGGCATTTTGCTCCATGCCATTTCGGTACAAAGAGTCATGAGGTTCACACTTGGCCACTTGGTGCAACATCCGACGTTGTAAACCTTGAAGATCAAATGTCCTTAAAACCCTCACCAACGATTACCAAGTGCTCTAAGCTTCAGTGAAGTAGGGTTTATGTCGGTGCTGTTTATCGGATTGTCGGGATACGAAAAGTAAGAAATCCTGACCCCAAAAGCCCTTCATAGAAGATCACAGAAGTTCTTTTTCAACCTCATAAATCCCCTACCAGTTAAAGCTCCCTGCTCCATGCTCCCAGGTTGGATTCCTACCGCGCCTTCACCGTCCTATACGATGCTGAGAAGGACGGTGACCGTGAGTTCCTTGGCTGGTGGTTTCTGCGGCTTGCAGGTAGGGGTTTTAGAATTTCTGAACCCAGGGATGAGGATTTAAGGATTAAGGGCTTTCAGGATTAAAGGTTTGGTGTTCTAAAGGGATGTTTAGAGTGTAAGTTTTAGGGTAGTCGCTGTCAGGTTCGGTAGTGGAAAAGACGAGTGCAGGTATGAACATATATCGCTTGAAAAAACCCTAATCTAGGCCAGCTCCCAGATGTGATATACTGCGTGGGATTTCAGGTTGAGCGTCTATGGTGACAATGCTGACAATGCATTGGTCCAGGCTGTAAAAAATAAGTTTTTTGGCATTAGCGAAACTTGCACCGTAAATAGGTTCAGTTTCAAGGTTCTAAGTTTAATGTCAAATGCAAGCAGCTTGCGACCTTGCAAGTTTTGGATCTTTAGGAGCACGCTGCTTCTGTTGCGGTGCATCTAAGCACTAGTGTTGCACACTTCAGCTTGTGTGGTACTGGTATGCTTCTATAGATATCTACTTCGATGCGCTGCTTGCGAAGTATATGACATTGAAAAGACTTTGGCTTGTATATGACATGCGCCAGGTTGGCGATGCACTACGACAATGCCGAGATCACTCTGAACGTGAACATTGGCGGGACTTGGGAAGGCAACACACCTCCAAACCCCCCCCCCCCCGGGGTGTTCTTTCCTCAGAACCTGCAACCCCGCCGGTCCACCCGGGTGAAGAGAGTGCGGTAGAGTAGTTTGTCAAGGCTGAGTTTCTTTGGGTGTCAGTCTAGTACCGTAGGTCCGTAGGTGTGATGGGTATCCTGGGTTGGGGTTTAGGGCCCTAGGGTTTTGGGGTTGGGATTTAGGCTTCAAGCACGCTGGAAGGCGGCCAGGTGGCATTCTATGGCTTGGCCACCCGAGAGGAGACAGAACCCATCGAGGCGCTGATTGTTTTTTTCGGGACAGCTCGGTGGCCAAGATCGAAAAACCCGAAACCCATAAACCCTAAATCCCTTGAACCCTAACCCCTAATGAAAGAAGAGCGGACTTAAACAAGACGTGCACCAGCTCGCGGATGCTGACAATCAAATTGTAGTCTGCCAGGTGGCGCTCCATCGCGGGCATGGCGTCCTCCATGCCGGCCTGGAGCGCTGGAAATTTGTTCGTAGGTTTAGGGTTTAGGGTTTTTGTTCGTAGGTCCATCACGAGTTGGATGATGTCCCGCAGAGCCATCCTCCGGAGTGCAACATAGCGCATTTTTAATTCATCAGGGTGTTCTGGGAAAAATGCGCTCAACCTCTTTAAATAGGCATTCCACGATCTTGAATGTAAAACCTACTTGACATGCCCAAAGCTCGACATGATCGGCCCCTACAAAAACTGGAAACCTACAAACCCTATACACCCCTTGAAAGAACTTCTTACCAAGTCGCCTTAAGCCCCCTAAACACCCAAAGCCCTAAAACCCTAACCCGTAAAATCCCGAACCAAATCTACTAAACCCCCTTAAACCCTTTCTGCTCAAGGAGATGCATAAGGCGCAGCCAATCACGCGGGGGCGTCGGCACAACTTGATCATGTGGTGCAGGTGCCCTGAATGGGGTGTTAAGGGTTTATGTTTGATGCTTGAGATGTGTTTGTGGTTTAGGTTTTCGGTGTTTAAGCGGATAGGGGAGTTAGGGTTTGGATTTATCGCGTCCCATGTGTGTTTCGCAGGTTCGGAGTGGTTGTGATGCATCAACTTTACGTGGCCTAAGGTGGATTTGGGATGGCGTAGACGTTTGTTGGAAGGAGACTCATTGTGGGTGGCTCAGGCCCCAAAACCCCAAAGCCTCGAACCCCAAACCAGTAAGACCTGAACCTCCTCTGCAACCCGCAAAACCCGGCCGAAATAGTGAAAGGCTTTGCACTAAGGCCGTTAAGAAGCTTCAGGGCGGTGTCGATGTAGGGCTTTTAGCAATGGGGCTGCTGACCGACCACTAGCAGCCTAGGGTTCTGGAAAAGAGTGCGTGCAGAAATCTGCCTGAAGCCACACAGAGAGAAGGTCGAGCGGAATTCGCAACGACCTCTGCCCGATGTGTTTTGAACAACCACAAGAGCCTCAGCAGATCTTTTTATCAGGATTGTTGATGGACCCGGGCTTGGGGCAAGAGTCAGCTTGGTTTCGGATATGCTTATGCTTTCAGTGGCTTCTGATGGGTTAGCTTTTTGTTTTGGATTCTTGGTACACTCTCTCCGAGTCTGATGCGCTCTAATTAAACTGTTGTTTCAACGACTTCCCGCTTGCCAGAACTAGCCTGATAACTGGTAGAATTGAAGCATATTGGAACAAAAGGAAGATGTGGATGATGATGACGATGTGGATGATGGTGACGATGATGATGATGGTGCTGACGGTAATGAAGGGGTATGATGATCACGTTGTAAGGCGACTTTTAATGAGTTGTAGGCTAGTGCGCCTGAATCTCTTCTTAAGCCTCGCCTGACTGGTTGTGTCGACTTCCTACAGGATGTTAATTCTGCTGTGCTCGGCTGAAGCGGTTGGCGTGGTTATACACTTACCTTGTCGGGTTGCTTCGCTACAGCATGAGGCTGTCCATAATCATGACATCCCCAAACCCGAACCTTAAAGTTGCATTGTTTGGGCGGCAAAGAACTTCTACATTGCTTTGGGCTCAACAAATCAAGGCGGGGGGAAGTACAACAGGCAGGTGCTTCGTAGCGAGCCGGCAAGGGAATATCACAATACGAGGGACCCTAACATGTACTGTGTACCCAAGTAGTGGGATATAGTGGGATCTAAGGACTCCGTATCGATAAGATACTGCTAATGTTCTACACGCCCCCATAAATCCTGTTAAAGCCCGTCCACACCCGCTGAAACAAGGTTGTAAACGTTCTATCGGCCCTAAAGCTCTGGACAGCGAGGTATTGCCGACGAACAAGTTCTTCCACGAGGGCTTCTCTGTGCCACCCTGCAGCCTTGCAGCTGTGAAGCGGGAGATGTCTGAAGACCTTTACGACTAGCCCTCTGCATCAGCGCTGAGCTGCTGACATCGTGCGATGAAAACAGCGTGCTTCTCTTGTCTTGGCTTCCCATAACAGGTCACGGGACTAGGCGTGGGCACTGCGCTGTCAGCAGCAGCCCTGCACAGCTCAGTTTGGCTGTGATGTGGCAGACAATGCATCCCAGACCGATTCGGTTGTCCCGCGGGACCAGCTTGCATGAGCCTCAAACTCTAAATTTCGAAACATGTCAAAACCTGAGCCCAATCTCTGCTTGCTGCAAGCCTCGGTGGCTTACAGTACTCATCTTAGCGCACCCATGGTGCACTCCAGGCCTCACATCTTGGGCAGGGCCTGTAAAGTTTACGGGCTTGGCGAGTTCAGGGTTACGTCTTGGACTTACATGTTGAGCTCAGGGGTTTAGTGGCTTAGGCTTCAGGATGTAGGGCTCCAAAACCCTTAACCCTAAACCCGAACCCCATTTCAAAAAGTGCATGGTAGTCCCCTGCTCGAAAAAGAGATTCGGTTCTCGTAGGCCCGATCCTCATCACAGAGTTTTTTGTTCACCACGGGTTAGGCTCTCTAGTACTCGTTGCCCTAGTCTGGGCTTTCCCACTGAAGCCTTTGATGCGGTGTAGGGTCTTGTTGTGTTTTGATGAGGGTTTTGGGTAGTACCGTTTTGAAGGGCCGGAGTGTGTTGGTCGATGGTTGCATGTAACCTAGGAGTCTGAATAATGTGGAAGTGCAATGGTAACGGTTTCGTAGTATTCCCCTATAGGCCTGTATGCTTATGCGATGAGATGCTCCCCAAGCCCTATTCTACTAATTACGGCCCGTAAATATCCGGGTTTCGGGCTCAATACTTCGCTTGCTTTCTGGATCGATCCTCGGCCTTGCACACACTTATAGGACCCCTACAGTGACGTTTAGAACTTGTAGATGGGCCTTGTAGAACCCCACATAAATCCCGAGGTGTGCTTGAATTGACCTGGGTTTAATATTTTGCTGGGTATCGATTTGGGATAGTTTTTTAATTTAATGTGATTGCTTAATATGGAGCATAAACGCAACTAATTTTGGGAACTGCTGAAATCGACACCTAGTTCGAGGTGTTTAGCGAAGACCTTTGCAGGCCTTTCGCTTGCTGCCTTGCCTGGGCGGCCTTGGCCGCCGCCCATGGCCCGGCACTGCAGAGCGTCGAGGTTTGCCCAGCGCTCGGTTTTTGTTTGCATGGTATTATATGCTTTTGTCCGTATAGCTTAGATGGGGCCCCGGCCCACTAATAGTTCAAAAATAGGTTTATTATCAAACAGACAGGCCAAAAGTAGCACAAGGAAATCTGATCTCATTCGGTTTTCCAGGGCCAGGCAGTGTTTTGAATCCAAATATGTTTGGCATAGTTTGGCGATTAGGGCTGTGAGATGGGGTCGGACCGGCGAAGAGGTTGGGAGGAGCTATCTGCAACTTACCAGCGAAGAGGTTTGGAACCACGGTTTCGTTACCATCGCAACCTGGGCCCGGAGACCTTCTTTCAGACGGCCTGGACGCGGGGACTGGACTGGCCCGGCCGCCAGAGAGACAGAGCAAAACTAGCACCAGAAAAGCACAAAAAAAAAACACAATCGGACCGCGTCGAGCACAAGAAAAGCACAACAGACAGAGACAATTTTGCACCAGAACTGCCGCGCGCCTATGTGTTTTGAAATCATGGAGCACAAAAAAAAAGCACAAACATACAAACACGTTTGGTTTTTGGAGCACAAGAAAAGCACAAAAAAAAAGCACAATCGGATCGTTTCGAGCACAAGAAAAGCACAACAGCCGGAGCGTTTCGAGCACAAGAAAAGCACAAAAAAAAAACACAAACATACAAACACGTTTGGTTTTTGGAGCACAAGAAAAGCACAAAAAAAAAGCACAATCGGAGCGTTTCGAGCACAAGAAAAGCACAACAGCAGGAGCGTTTCGAGCACAAGAAAAGCACAAAAAAAAAGCACAAACATACAAACACGTTTGGTTTTCGGAGCACAAGAAAAGCACAAACAAAAAGCACAATCGGAGCGTTTCGAGCACAAGAAAAGCACAAAAAAAAAAGCACAAACATGCAAACACGTTTGCGGAAACGAGCCCGGAGGCCTGCCTAGATTGCAGAAAGAGTACAGACAGAGCACAAGAAAAGCACAACAGCCGGAGCGTTTCGAGCACAAGAAAAGCACAAAAACAAAGTACAAACATACAAACATGTTTGGTTTTTGGAGCACAAGAAAAGCACAAAAAAAAAAGCACAATCGGATCGTTTCGAGCACAAGAAAAGCACAACAGCCGGAGCGTTTCGAGCACAAGAAAAGCACAAAAAAAAAGCACAAACATACAAACACGTTTGGTTTTTGGAGCACAAGAAAAGCACAAAAAAAAAAGCACAATCGGAGCGTTTCGAGCACAAGAAAAGCACAACAGCCGGAGCGTTTCGAGCACAAGAAAAGCACAAAAAAAAAGCACAAACATACAAACACGTTTGGTTTTTGGAGCACAAGAAAAGCACAAAAAAAAAGCACAATCGGAGCGTTTCGAGCACAAGAAAAGCACAACAGCCGGAGCGTTTCGAGCACAAGAAAGGCACAAAAAAAAGCACAAACATACAAACACGTTTGGTTTTTGGAGCACAAGAAAAGCACAAAAACAAAGCACAATCGGATCGTTTCGAGCACAAGAAAAGCACAACAGAAAAGAGGTTTCTGTGATCGAAATGTCGCGCCCGGGTACGCCTCTCAGTACTAAACTTGGTCGAAGAGGCCAGACCCCGGCCCGGCCTCAGCCCGCCCCCCACCCCCCCGTCCGTTCAGCTTTCCAGCCCAGCCCCCTCAGCCCCCCCCAGCACCCCCAGCCCCCCCCGCCCCGCCCCCCCTAGTCGCGCAGAGACATTGCAGCTCCTGATGTTTGCTCAAGATCGAATCCGAGAAAACAACAGGGGTGTGACTGTGTTTGCAACTCATGGGGTGGCAGTTTACTTGTTGTCTCAGTCTTGCGTTTTCCAATCATGCGAGCATGATCACAAACGAGTCAACATTTCAGCATTTCCCTGGTGCTTCATCTTGTGCTTCTGTTTCTGCCCACTATTAGTGAGGCGGGGCCGCACACAACGTATAGCATATATCGCAAAATTCGTTGTATGTAGGGACCCTGGTATAGTAGAGTATAGTATGGCATAGTAGAGTATGGTATGTAGTATATGATGTAGTATACCGTATTGAGTATATAGTGTGTAGTTTATCGTGTAACGTGTCGAGTGTATACTGTAGAATATAGTACTGGCAGTACACAGCATACAGTGTGTATAGTACATCGTGTAAAGTATATAGACTTGGTACAGTATGCTTTTACTGTATGTCGGACTCCGGGCTAAACAGGAATCCCCGAGATCCGAGGTGAAGGTGAGATTGGTACCCTCCCGGCGGCTTCGGTTTGGCAGGATTTCGGCTTGGCTGCGGTTCGGCTTCAGGATTCTGCTTGGAACATCTTGAGACTGTTTGCATTGAATTCCTCAGTGGCATTCGAAATCTCAGAATACAACCCTACACCCGAAACCCCAATGCATCGGGGTGTAAGTTCAATGTGGGTGTAACTTTGGAAGGCATGCGAGATTTCGCACAGTCCCGAGCCGAGTATGGGCCCTTGAGAATCTCGTAGCCAGCGCACGTGTCCAACCTTTTCCAGCCCTAAACCTCGCGACATGGCTTCCTAGAAGACGCTTACACATATATATATATATATGTTGCTATTTAATTATCATCTAGCAGGTCATGCACAGTTTTCAACACATACTACGGATTCCTTGTACAGCTTGGAACTCTTTGAATCTTTCCCAGCTCACGATGGCAGGTTGACTCCCGCGCCGAGCTGGGTCCAGAGGCGCTTGGAGCAGTTTCGGCTTCTAAAAGATGTCGGGTGTGCAGTTCATCGTAGCATATAATTAGAAATAGTACGAAGAATAATAACAACAATAAGAACGATAATGATAGTAACAATGGTAATAACAGTAATACTAGTAGACTATTATCAATAGTCATGCCAGCAATGATACTACTGGGCGGAGTTAGGATTGCAAGATGTTGCAGGTGAGCACTAGGATGGTAGGATGATTAGGGCTTGGAGAAGTCCTCACCCTGCGGCATGTCAGGACTAATGTAGGGGCCCAAATAGTTACCTATACTATAGTGGGCTCCTTATTATAATTGTATCAATTATAAGCCTATCCTAAACATTAAGGCCCTTATATTAGGTTCATGCTGCCCATAGGGCCGCCCCCTGCGGACCCCCATGGCAGGTTGACTACAATTCCGAGTTGGAGCCGGAGGCGCCAAAGGGGAAAAGGAGAGACCCTTAAAGGAGGGACCCCATACCCTATACATAATGGCTATATTTGGGGTATATTACCTAGGGGTCCTTATTAAGGGTCCCTCCTTGCACCCTTGGATTGGAAGTTGTCGTTCGTGATTTGGTCGGGCACCTGTCGGTGTTCCGGCAAACTGATCAAACTAAGAGGGCCTGCCGGGCGCTGCCAGTAGGCTCCAGAAGCCCCATCCATAAACGAACCGAGTTCAAGCCGGCCCAACATGAATTAAAGTGACGACGGCGAGAAGAAGCACAAACACAGCGACTACAACAACCACGAAACCGACAGCACACTGGAAGCAACATCAACAGCAAATCCCAAACACGCGGCAAACATCCGCAAACCCTGAATTCAGGGTTGCCAAATGTTAAGGGTGGAGGTTGGGCTGCCCAGATTTCCAAGAGTTCCACGGAAGTCGGCTCAAAAGAAAAGGAAGTATGAAAGCCTTGACAAACAGTTGGAGCAGGGTATGCTATAGCATCGTGGAACGAAGGAGGGAGCATTCACACGAGCTCGGGGGCTGGGTGAACTCATCTGGAAGCATTCTCGATCTATGTGACAGGGAACCTTAAGTTCTCCGTTCCGGGAACACCGTCGTGTTGTAGTAGAAATGCGTACGACACCAGCGTCGCGGTTGAGTTTTCTGGCTTTTTCTTTCACCTGCAGCAGACCAGTGACCTGTGCAAACTGACGGCAGGTTGACTCCAGCTTCGACGACGTGGAGCCGGAGGTTCCCCGGCGATTGAGGGTTTCGTAATTGACAGGGGCCGGGGCCAGAGACAGGGCTCTTTGAAGGAAGTTTTTGGAAACAGATGCCTTAAACGCTAAACCGAACATGCGATTTGGATCGATTTGGCGGCTGGTTTTTGAGTTGTCAGGCCTGGTTCTTTGAATTGCAGCCTCCTGGGATTCAGGTTTGTAGCGGTTGCCCTTTGCTGGTCTGCTTCGTGCTCAAACATATCAGGGCCGTTTGCCTGCAGACACTATAACCCTACACTCCTAGACCCTAAAATAGGGGCACACTGTTGCGGCGGAGTTCGTCCTCACAACTCGCCTTGGCACGACAGGTCGGCCGCAAGAGACACCGTGAAAGAGCTGGGAGTCCAGATCGCATCAGCCACGAATGCATGAATATCAACATAAGAGCGCCAAAAAGTAAAAGACTTGTCGTAATGTACTGTAAAACTATTGAGTAACGGTACTGTTCTTGTTGGTGGTTCAGCTTGGGGGAATCTTGTGTTGCCTTTTGCTCGCGCCTCAGCACGGACAAGCGCTTGGGGACTTCGGCGAGCAAGCAACTCTGTCCATATTATGTTGGTATGATATGTCAACATAATTTGCATGTCGAGGGCTCGGAGCCTCAACACGAAGCCATTCTGCCGTAAAGACCATAAGGACAACCTCAAAACCTAGTAGGCCACATCGGCAAACATCTCAGGCTATCTTCTCAAAACCTAAACCCTCCTCCCAGCTCCACTGTAGCGAGCCTTAACGATGGAGATGGTTCAAGCGTGCCCTGAATCTGGCAGGACCCGAAGCCACAGATACGTGGAGCGTACTAAACGCACTACAAGAAGCAGCCTTACGCTTAAGCCCAAAAACGTGGACCTGATGTAGAACAGCTCTGATGCGACATGTGTCGACGTAAGCTTTCCCAAAACTTGTTCTCCAAGCGAGAAGAGGCCCTATATCAAGACATCCCTGCAAGTTCGGGCGATGCCGATGGACCCACCAATCAGAAATCTTGCATGTCATGTACATAAAACCCCGAATGCTTGCGAGTTCTTGCCATGGAGCATCTAACAGCCCTAAACCCCGAGACCACAACACCCTGGCCCTGAACCCTAAACGAAACCCAACAAAGGTTCTAAGCGCTAAAAAGCGAAAAACCCTGAGCCGAGGAGGTCGGCAGCCCTTCTCCGAACTGAAAACCGGGCAGGAGCTCGAGGTGGTAGCGAGGAGCAGACTGCTTGGGATATGAGGGCAAGAGGGGGCTCCTTGAAGCTTAAGGCTTTCGGGGTTCGGGGTTTCAGGACGACGAATTGGTGAGGCGGGCAGGGCTTCTTCACTGCAGCCCCTACTGAAAAAAAGGCGTTGGTTGTTCTGGTTGGGACTTTAGGGCTAAGTATCCGATGTCGCGCGCGACAGAACAACTGATATTCACTGCTCGAAATTCTGCGGGGGTTCTGTATTGGAGCATTGCAGGAATAGTCCAGACACTGCTTCGAGACGTTCGTGGTTTAGAGACTCGGTGTTATCCTCCGCCGCAGTAGCTTTGTCAAACTCTCATGAGTCAAGACTGAACGTAGGCATTGTGCCCAAACTCCTCTTTGACTCCTGCGGATCAAGTCCAATGCAGGTTTTGCAGCAGGATTCCCTCCGTCACTGTAGAAGGGAGTTTAAATGAAACATGTGCCACATTTGTATGCAAATACATACCAAGTTCATGCAAATTACGAGTGTGCACACATACATAGTACTCTGTGTGTATAATACGTGTCTGTGTGTATGTATATAACATATATATATATATATGTACACATATACACACTTGCTGTTTTGTGATAAAGGAATGAATAATAGATTCACCTCCATACCCCGTGCACTCAGTGGTCGCGGGCTTGGAATTTTCTTAGAAGCTCCGAGGTTCACTGTCACCATAGAAACAGACAACGGTCACGATTGTAACGACACGGACAACCCCAAACAGCCGCCAGCAGCAGCAATGACAACAAGAACGCAACCTGTGCGACAGACGCGCGCGTAATGACCATGACGATAGGACGCTTTCACCGATTTCGGCTCTGCACGTGCCGTATCCAGGACTTCACATCGGATGCCAGCCTCCTAGATGCAGAGGAGGCACAGGTGCGGCAGACCTGCTTCCTGCCAGGGTTGACCTATACGATTTAGGTTTCACTTTCCAACCTTTACCCAAGAGATCACCACACCACGACCCGAGACTCTCAAGAGACCGGGCCTTCTCTTGCCTTGGGAACACGGATTTCTGCTGCATTTGGATTCACGATTTCCCGCCCTTTGGCGCAGGAGTCTCACGGAAGAGAACACGCCGAGAAGGTCACGAAGAAAAAGAAAAAGAAGAAGAAGAAGGCCCTGGCGAAGAAGTGTGCAGCTCGACGGCATGAGAAGTTCGCCAATGATCTTGCGGCAGCCTTCGGTGTCCAGAGCACAGGTGACCGGATTTCGGGGGCTGATGGTGAGCTTCGGGTGGCTTGGGACCTAGGATGAGCTCTTCAAACCATACCTCCTGGGCCCGCTGCTCTCTTCCAAACCCTCAGACTCCATGCCCTTGGCGCCCTCCCAAACCTCTGACTGAGGTCGGCACACACCTGACCAGCTGTCCGTCTGATGGCTCCGACCCGTGCAAGACCAAATCGGCAGGTCGGCTGAGGGTTTGGGCTTCTGGGGTTGAGGTATTGCTTCTATCAGCTGAGCGCAATCAGAGAGCGGTCAATTCCGAGAAGCATCAAAGAAGATCTTCATGATGGAGGGATTGTCTGGTACAGTGTTTGACGACTCGCAACCCCTGAACTGCAGGTAACTGCATCAACGTCTTCCACTCCTGTGGTGATGATGTCCTGAAACAGTGCGGGCTGGACAAGACGCCTGGTTCGCAAGAAATGCTTGGACTGCTCTGCGCTGCCAAAATCTCGAGTCGATGCCGTGATGTCAACGGCCTAGAGACAGCCCTGAGCCGATAATCAACAGCGACGTCGATGTACACATCCCATGATGCGAAGGAAAAAGAAGTGCACCAGCCTCAGCGGCGGCGCCTGCTACCTCCAGTGCACTGGAAGGGAACTCTTCGGCGTCGCTCGGCACTTCAACTCCGTGATCCGGCTTTGCAGATTTCAGGCGTCGCGTCCTCTCCTTATATGCAACAAATCCACTTGAAGTTATGCTTTACTCATCGATGAAGTGAGTGGCTTCCTTTAGCCCGAGACCCCTGCAGGCCAAAAGCGGTGCCCAGAGTCCCAAAGCAATAGAGACCTTTTTGCTCACACTCCAACACCATGACAGCGACACCTAACATCCGGAATCCAGTAATCCTGCAACATCTAAGATCAGCTAATCCCAAAATCTCAAGGAGCCTGGAGGGTCTAACCAGCCCGTACTGAGTAATCACACGAGACAGAGGGGAGAGGGAGAGAGAGATGGTTAATTGACCATCCGGGTCGAGACTCCAAGACCCTAAACCGCTAAACCCCTGAACCCCTAAACCCTGAACCTTCGCCAACATGAAAAGAAAACCCTACAGCAGGGCTTCAAGCCATGGGAGGCAGACATCTTTACTTGCGTCGCATACTTGTGTCAAAGGTATTGCAAGATTTTGCTCACGAAAGAATCCTGCTTCCAGCTGCAACCCTGTACAGCAAAAACCCCATAAAGTTGGGAACCGGACTAAGGCCAAATAGTGCCGGGATTCCCTATACATCACTCATAAGGATTGAGGCTATGGGGTTTCCAACTCTTGGGCTTTTGCTGTAGGCTGACTGTTGGCTGTTGCACACGAAAAGGCCCACCCTAACAAGTAGGCTACAATCTTATCTTTAGGTCGCAAGTTTCTCCTCAGTTTCAGCTGCTCTGAGGCCTCTCGCACAGTCTCTATGTCCTTTAGGCATGGTACATCTACGGCTTCGACAGGGCTCCTGGTACACCCCAAGACCTTACTGCAGTGACAACACGGCTCGCAATAACTAGTAATTAGTATACTCCAAGGCCGTCTTGCAGATGCCATTATACCCCATATTCGCAGCACCTCCCAAACCCTGTCAAGCCTTGCCAGCGTAAAAGCAAGCACAAAGCCGTAGATAAGAAGTTCAAAAGCGGCCCGGCCAGCGTTGTCGAGGAGAAGTGCGAGTCCCAGCCAAAGGAGCGATGCAACGGTGGCTACGCCTTTCGGCGAGCGAAAGGTTTTGGGGGGGGGGGGGGGGGGGTTCTAGATTTTTAGGGCCCGGCGAAGGAGGTGGCGAGCAATTCTCAGGACTTAGAGTGTTTTTCGGGGTTAGGTTTCAGGATATTTGGGTTCAGGGCTCCAGAGTTTAGGATGCGGGGGTTGGGTTTACAGTTTTGGAATCCGGGTTTGGTTTGAAGATTTAGAGTGGATTTGAGCTGCATCGGGGCTTATATAGGGTTTGGGGGTGTGAGAAGGCAACTGCCCTCAGCCACGGGCTTTTGGCAGACATGCTGGACTGCATACAGGCGCACACAACTCGATGATTGACATGATGGTATTGCTGATGAACTTCTCACGGTTTTTCGACCTTGCGTGAAGCGATGGGTTGCCTGAGGTCAGCGATGGGCTGTCTGGCATGTCCTGCGACTTGGTACACGCAAGGCTGCAACTTCTGAACTCTCTGTTTGTTTGAACTCGCCGCTGCATTGAGGTCAGCACTAGAAGCCTCTTGCTGCCTATGCAAGACTTGCACACCGAATCCGTATACTGCAAGGCCATGCTCCTCACAACTATTCAGTTCTGTAGTCTCTCCCACACTTCTGTACTGCCCATCCTTCAGGAGGAGAGATACCTGATTCCTTCCTGTCACCTTGTTCGGACTCCGCTTGTTCATCGCGTCTTGCTGACGAAGTTTCAGTTGATCTTGCTGGCCCTCATGTCACCGCGTGGCCTGTTCTGCCTGTTTGCATTAGGGAGGATGCCCCGGCAGCAGGCTTGAGGTGTCAGAGTGGTATGTGGTGAATGTACACGGGTATGATATATGTATACTTCAAGACAATATGAGTTGGATGCGCTTCTTTCAAACGCATATAATTATGTCTATCCTTCCGATCGACACCGAAGCAATAAACCAAACCTGCTTGGGCCCGCCGAGGTATGATCTCGCCCTTGGAGGCAACACGCTGTATTGATGCAGGCACCTGTGCACTTCCGGAGGAGTAAGGCATTGAGCGCGGGAAGTCAGAAACGAGAAAACAGACTGCTCGCACGTGCCTACGCCCCCTGGCATGAACAAACCCTAAACCCTGGGGGAGGGGGGAGCGGGGCATGCACCAGAAGTTTCAGATAGTTTCTGCATCCTGGACTTCAACCTCTGAGGTCCAATGTGGCCGGCCCATAAGATTGGACGTCCTTTTGTTGGAACTCTGGAGCAGTACCTGCTGGTGAGTGTTTGGGCACAAATGCTGGAGCTTTGATGAAGGCGTTCGGAGTCTTTTGGCGTGGATGTGGCTCGATTGCCGGAGCTTTGCTTGAGCCTCTGCCATCGAAAGCAATGCTACTACAACCCACAGCTCAGATTGAGGGGTTCTAGACTCTGGGAGCTGGTGGAGCACCAGAGACCGCGGCAGGGCAGCACGTAAAACACAATTGTCATCGTTCCATCTCGTGTGAACAGCGAAGCAGCTTGTAGAACACGATAGAACACGTGGCATGCTGGAGTTGAACCCTCGGCCTAAACTTATTAAAACACAAACCCACTCCAGACACCCACCTCGCTCCTTGCATACTTCTTTGGGCCATCGAGCGCAGATGGTCAAGCGAAAGGCAGGGCATTGCTCGAAATCCACAGGCCCTTGCGGCCGGCAAGTGAACACAGCGAAGCTTTGAGAGGTTAGGCAAGCCATGTCAGAATCCTCAAGTCTTCTGTCGTTCTAGATTTCACGGAGATTTCCATGATATGTATGTAACTCTTCCTGTAGTAATTAGTATAGTAGTAGTCGTCGTCGTAGTAAGCAGAACAACAAAGCGATACTCGGCTCGGGGAAGGGAATTGAATCAGCACCACATGCCCCGACAGAGAGACTCTGCGCTCAACCAAGCATTTCAATATACGATGCATATTCCAGCTCTGTCTGCTAGCTGCTAGCTCGCAGGTCATAGCTTCTGAGAATCTTTGACACAGCTCAGGAGAATCCAACTGTAAGGGCATGCAGCAGCTCTGTGGTTCCAGAGGCCGCAAATCTGAGAGCCGAAATCCTACACCATCTTAAACCCGTGAACGGAGCTATGAATCAGCTTCTGAAACTTGAAGCTGCAGTAGCTGTTGCCTTCAAAAACTACCCTGCAATGCGTGCTCGTCCTTGCTAGGTAGGAGGGAAAAATCTTAAACCAATCACACGTTAAAGTGAAATACTGCACTCCAAGCGAATACTTCGCCAAAGGCTTCTGCCATGGACAGCGTCGAAGCCCCAGCCGCCGCCTGGCCCCTAGCGCACAGGCTCGGGACTTTTCTTAGATGCTTTCGGGGCTGAGAGCTGTGGGTTGAGAGAAGAGGGTTTGGGGTGACAGCGTTGAGAGTTCGCAGCCGCATTAGGGCTGAGCACAAGTGCGAAGAAGTGATCCTCTCAAAACAAGAGTTGCCGCGGGGTGTTGTTGTGTTGTTGTTAGGGTTGTTTGGGATCAAGGTCATAAAAACTTCGAGGTCAAGGATATTGAGGCGCTTAGGTTCACGGCTTTTGCACTTATGTAGTGAGAGGGAATTCCGAGCTTTGGGTGATTGTGTCGGACTGGGGCCTCGAAACTTTTTAAATCGAGAGGCCTTCCGGGCAGAGGGTTCCGTGATTATGCGCTATCTCGGGTACGGCCCCCACTCTGTAATAGTTCATAATATAGATGTAGTAGGACCTTAATAGTAGTAGCCCCATTATAGACTCTTACTGTATGGGGGCCGCGCCTAAGCGCTATCGTCCAAAGGCTGACAGGTGACACAGCTGAGAACGATAGCGATTGTGAAAGCGGACGGATATATGCATGCATAGTGCGAAACGGATGACTGTTACAAGAGTGACTTTACTGTTTGAGGACTTCGCAGAGCGTCGAAGGGTCGAAGCCCGCAACCCTAGATTGGTCGCTAAAAGTCGTTATGCTTCACGGGGGTATCATATATAATTCGTGGCTCATGGTCCTGAAACATTGGGAACGGGCACTAGACAATCCTTAGAACAGGGTCTTCGGGCAGGATTTCTGTAATAGCTAGATGGACTGGTCCGATAAAGGGAATACATATTTGACATTGTAAACGGCCACAGAGGTTTCTCAACCACTTTGATGCCCGGCCGAGGTAAAACCTACCAGCCCGCATGCACTCGTCGTGACGGCCTTGGCATCGTCAGATGGCAGCTGGTTCATTTCGGTCGCACATAAACCCAGCAGCCTGAACCACATGTGCGGTGGATGTAGTTCTTAGCAAGACTAGGCCCTGCAATCACCAGGCATTCCAAAATCATGAAGCTGAGGTTGACGTTCACAGTTGCTGAAGGATCATCGTGTCTTTTTCAGTGGTCCGCACAGGGAGAATCCAGACCCTGAAGTGAAGCAGCTGCGGTCGCGGGTCTAGTGCCGGTTTGGCAATGCGTGAAGGGTTTGGGGCACCAGGGAGGCAAAGAATTTCAATCAGATCTTCCCCAGCAGCTGCCCGCGAGAATTCCATTCCACACCAGGGGGGCAAAGAATTTCAATCAGATCTTCCCCAGCAGCTGCCCGCGAGAATTCCATTCCACACCCGAGCTGAAAGCTTTTTATCCACTGCGACAAGCCCGAACCTTGCCATAGCACGTCCCCCCATGACGCCCGTCCAGATCTACGCCTCTCCGGCCTTTGAAAAAAGAGCCTATAGCCTTGAGCCTAGAAGCTCACTTGAGGCCCTTCTGGACCTGCGCCTGAGCGACTGCAACGAAGAGCTGCTGGAGCTGCAGGACACGCTCCGGGCTCCGAAGCAAGCAAGCCTTGTCTTGACGGGACATTTCAGGGGCATGAAGGAGTGTCCACGAACATGAGTCAAGGCGGCGACCCTATGCAAGAAACGACAAAGAGCTGCCTCTGTCTCTGCTTGTCTCTCCCTCTCTTTCTCTCTCTCTGAATGCATTGATGCCGTATGTGTAATAGGTATGTGCTTCAATATACACAACATAGAGCAGGCCCACAGTCTGCGGATTCTCGAAATACAATGTGATCATAGTGGTGTTACGACGACTAGCCAGAACAGACGTAGGCATACGTTGGCGTATGAAAGGCGATGATTGACAGACTGAGATCTAGGGGAGCAAGGCCATTCCGAGAACTCTGCTGCATGCCCGTCGATCCTGCGGCTGTCCGTCCTGCGCGGTGAACCGTGGGAAATCGGTGGATTTGCACTTCGGACTCGTTTCGAATGCAACGTTGGGCTTGCTTCGTACCACGTGCGCCAGTATGACAGGCGAAAACTTTTCTGCTACGGCCTACCTGGACCTAAACCGCACGCGTTTAGGCCAATATCCTTACACACCACGAGCCCCGAGAGCCTCATACTGTGACCGGCTTTGTGCAGGCCGCCTCCAGACGGCTTCACGAGGCCTTTGAGCGTTCACGGCACACCTCGGATTTTGTCTATGGAGTCTAGTTGCAAGTTCGTGGGTCGTCGTTCCCTCCGTGTGAAGCCTGATTCTGGGTCGCTGGTTTGCTTTGTTCTTACATCGCCGCCTTCGAGCCACCCCCGGCGCCGGAGCCTCTTGGACTGACTCGACTCACCGCCGAAGGAGCCAAGACTAGGCAACCGTGCCTGGATACCGATCAAGATTGGAGTTGGATGACGACAGGAATTCGCCCATTAGCTTTGGGCCTCGGCACATTGCGAGTGTTGTGCAGATTCCTAGTATTGCATACACATCTCTTTAAGTTGGAAGAATTTCGACCAATAAGTTCAGATGCAGCCGGAAGCCAGCTATTCAAGCCTATGCTTGCTCGGGACGGGAAGAGTCCCAATCCTGAGCAGCCCCAGTCAGGGTCCAGCCCGTCACTCGAAGACACAAACACTGTGGGCTGCAGAAACGCTGCTGTATGTATGAACTGCCCGAATCCCGAAGACACGTTCAAGCAGCTTCAATGTCGAGTTGTTAAATACCAGAAATATCCCTCGTAGACTAAACCCGCAACTTAAAGCGCCGCTTCCCTGACCCTTGTGACACAGGCCTATGCGCCTGCACGGCGTCAAATGTCGGAGCCCTGGAGTGTTTTGGGGTTCAAAAAGGGTTTGTAGGTGCCTTTGAACTTCCTTGATTCGCAGACGGGCTTTGTTGGAACAACCCCCCAAAGCCCTAAACTCCACAGAGATGCGAAAAGCTCCGGCTTGGAGCCTCATTGAGGACCCTTGCCACTGCAGCAAATGAAACACAAACTCCCTCCAAGATGGTCGAAGGTCGAAGGGCTGAGTCACTAACCAAGTCCTGCACCGTAAGGAAGAACAGCGCAGAAGTTGGATTTCTTTCGTTGGAGCTCCCTAAACCCTAACCCTCTCGTGCTCGCGGTTGGCTTTGAAAGCTCAGAAGGTCTCCCGAGTCATTCGAACATGGGAGCCGGCGGTCCAGATTCCGCGCATCATCCCCCAAGCCCACACATAAGAATCCTAACTACAAGGCAACTAAAACTGTGGATCCTTTAAGCAATCTAATCCCTTGAACCCTGAGCATGAACCGTTTCCACAAACCCCAGACACCTCAAGTAGAACCGAGTGAAGTCGCTGCAGAGGAGGCCTTGAAAGCATTTGATGAGGATGAAAGTTCAAAGAAAGTCGTCATGAAGGAGGTCGTCGATGTACTTTTAGGTTCTCAGTTTGTGAGGAGTGAAGCCGCGAACCTGACGTACCAAGTCGTCGAGGGCAGTGGCATGGGCTTACCACACAGTGCGGGCATTGCGGATTCGGCATTCTATCACAAAGCAGAAAGAGGAATGGTGGAGAAGGATGCCCTGGAAAGTGTTGGTATTGACATGCTACTCAGGTATAGAGATGACATCCTCATCTTAGCGAGCTCTTACGAGAAGTTCATCGCATGGTTCCAGAAGCTTAAGAGCAAAGCAGGATTTTTCAAGCTACAATGTGAAGAAATCGTGAGGTTCAGTGAGGTTGAGGATAAAGAAGTACAATTCCTTCAGTTCCGCGTGCAGATGAATGCGAAATCGAGGCGCTT